TTAAGTTAATTTACTAAGAAAAAAAAAAGAAAATACATCTTTTTAGGAAGAGAATTTCTTCACCTTTTTTTTCCTCTATGAATAGAAATTTTCCATTCGTATATGTATGTGTACGTATGTGTGAATGTAAATTTGTCCCAGTTAATTATTATCTAAACTTTTTCCTTTACCCTCATTGTATAATATACATGTTGTTTAAAATAACTTTAAATAAATAATAATATTTATTGTAATATATTTAAGTATTAATATTATTACCAATTTTGTATTTTAAGCTTGATAATATGATTATAATATAGATAGTGTATATAATTATTTAAATTATTACGTTAAAAGTGAAATTTACCATGTATTAACACTAAAATAAAATAAGAGTTAAGAAAAACATATTTCTATCGAGAGAGAAAGGTAGAACATCCTAAAGCCATTTTTTTATTTTAAATATACCTTTACATGCCTGTTAAAATTATTCAATTTTTATTGAAAATTGTTAACAAATCCGCTACAATAAATTAAATGATACATTACATTATTCATACCAAGAAGACATCTTTCTCTGCTCAGCGCTACAATTCTTCTGCGAGACATGCACATTTAAATTTGTATTGATCTTTTTATATATTGAACTGAAAACTAAGATGTCACTTAAATGACATAGCAATATCGAGCAATGCACAGATGAATAATGCTGGTAGCGGGAACTAAACAGTGATGAATAGTTTATTAGTTTGTTTAATAATTTGCCGCGATAAATGTCGTATCGTCGCATAATTTGTAATAATGCTCCATATAATTTGTAATAATGCTGCCGCACATCACCTGGTGACACTCTTTTGCACCCACTCCTAGATCCTTGAACCGATAAACTCTCGTTTACGATGACCGTTCTTCAGTCATGCGTTCGCAATCTTGAATCGCGATACCCTTATTTTTTTCTTTAACCCTCGCGCCAAGCAGTAATAGTCACGCTTTTTAATAAAGTATTCCGCGATTCATTGTTATTTCTTACTAAGATTTCGGAATTAAAATACCGATTTCGCATTGTACCTCTCTCTATTTTTATATTCGTTTTAACTCATACGATGGATAATTTCATGCTTTCAATTCATTGTTAATTATTTATTTATCGTTACAGTGTACAATTGAACAAAAGAGATATGTATTTTTGTACTTGGTGATCGTTTGTTTAAGTTCTTAATTTAAACCTATACTTTGCGAAATGAAATATATAATGGTGCTATCGATTGTGTGTGCGATACTCTTCTTCGTATTGGGCATCAAATCGCTGACAGAAGAAATAAGCACTAATAATTATTTTCAACTAATTAACGACGTCCATAGATATTATCGCACGTCATGTGTTATTTTCATACAATCTGATAATTACGGTAAGTACCGGGAACAATTTCCAGCTGTCATTTCTCATATTGCACTTTCAGCCAGCTGACAGAAAGAAAGTTTCTGCGAATTTTTGAAACATTGAATCAGAATTTTATGTGCAAATTAGTTCTATACAATATTATTTAATGTATAAAATATCTGTGGATAACAAAGTTAAATTATAAATTAATGAATTATTGTATGATGTAATGATTATCAATAATATGTTACTAAATAATTCAACATTATTTGATTAAAAAATAAATAATTACGCACGAAGTGTTAGATAAAAAAAATTTTATAAAGATACCTACTAATTAAATATTTTTTAATTTTGAGAGAAATTAAAAATTGTTGCTAAATAAATATTCGACAAATAAATTATTGCATTCTTAATTTTTTAAAACTATTTTCTTCTTTATTTTATTAAATTCAATAAAATGTAACTAAATAAAAAATTAATTAAATTTAAAAATTGAATGTCATCATCTCAGTTGTGACCTACAAAATTATATCTAATACTAATATTAAGTAAAATGTAATATGCATTTTTTATGCAAATATTGCAGATTTAAAAACGACGCCATTAGTGCATACATTGTCGCGCGAACTTTCACGGCAGCGAGTCATGATCATGTCCATAACTTTTTCAAATTTGATGAGTAAATACAATGATTACCAGAAGAATGTCGGACCTTATTGCCCTTATGCCCTTATTCGTCGTTCTGCTCGACACCGAGGAGACCATGTGCGAATTCGCAAATACTACAAAGGGCATAAAACCCATCTCTTTCCCTATCTGGTTGATTGTGTTTCTTCAGCATCTTGGAAACCCTCTTAAAGACTACTGCACACATCCTGCCAATAACATATTTAACGTGGACATTAGCACCCAAATGCTGGTCTTGTGCTACAATCGCCCGATTCTAGTCGAGTGGTATGCCATTGGCGATAACTATACTAGAACGTTTGATCTGGCTACATGGTCTCCTGATAGAGGTCTGATCCTGAGAACGCAAGAAAATCTGTACGCCAGGAGGAGCGACATGTTTGGTGATGTTGTACGCGTGACGATTGTAAATGTAAGTTTTCATCTTTGTCGAACTCCATCGTGCGCTAGTTTAACGTTGCGATTTAGAAAAGATCGTAAGCGACAACCTTGTAAAAAATAAGCAGCATGAAAAAAATTGCCTCAGAATTTGTCATGGAATCAATATTAGAATTTAACGATAACTTCATAGATCTATAGACGTAAATTGACCTGCCAATTCTGTTCATAAATGCTCGAAGAACTCGCCATTAGTCTCGCTGAAGAACGGTACGATGGACGGATTTTTTGGTTTACTACTGATAGAACTCAGCAAAGTGATGAACTTCACGATAAAGATTCTGGATTTCAGATTGGGTAAAGATAAATTAAACACGAATGAACAAAAAGGTGTTGTTTATAAGATAAATTGTAAAGAATGTGACGTGTCTTATGTTGGCCAAACTAAAAGGAAGATTGGCACACGTATAGTTGAACATCGACAAGATATAAAAAATAAAAAACACTGCAGTTCTGTCTTAGCAGAACATCATATGAATAAGGGTCACAATTTCAATTGGGATGATATAAAAATTATGGATAAAGAACAATATCTTTTCAAAAGACTGACATCTGAAATGATTTTTATCAAAAAACAAGAAAAAGATTTAAACAGGCAGAATGACACACAGAAATTTCCAGAAGCATATGTTTCCGTGCTCGACATGTTATGATATTGCTGTTTTGAAATCACATAATGTCGCTTTAGTCTAAGATATAAATACGTTGTGTCAGAACATACGAGACAGTTCTCGCAGTTTGTCCTAGCTTTCCACACATTAATTGTATAGACGTTAAAGCGAACAAACGAAAGTATAATATGTCTTCGATATTATATGCATTACAATTGGTGATACATTTTAATAATTTTACGCAGGTATTACGAAGTTTTACGATACAATTTAATAATTTTACGTTAGGTATTAGAAAGTTTTTTGAATTAATTAATTGAGGGAGTCATACTAAGAATTATAAATTATTAATTGTCAGTATCAGGTAATGGTGCGTCGAGTTATTGGAATGATAATAAAAAATCATCACTAAGGATAATATAATTATAAACTACACTGATAATTTAGAGCAGACATGTTTTGCATGGAGTGCAGAGGATGGGAATCATTTTAACTGATAAGACTTACTGTTGCTTTCCATGATTTTATGCAGTTGACGAAGATTATATATGGATAATTTGTAAATTATAAATTAAATATTGACAATGATATGTATAATGACAACTAAAATGATATCGATCTATTAATATTCAATATTATTGTAAAAATTTTTTAACAAATCTATGTAATACCATTGAAAATGGTCTGATGACAGACTGAAACGTTTGGTTCTATATAATTTAATAAATATCGATCAATTTATGATCTTGCACAAAACTTAACTTGTGTACGTGGAAGAAGCCGTTTAATTATTATATTTTTTTAATGTTTCTATCTGGCATAATTTTTCTATATTATTTGTGGTAACGTTTTATGTAATTAATACGTTGATAAATGTCAATATTTACCAATATATGTATGTTTGACGCAGAATAGAACGCACATATATATTATATATACAGGATGTTTCATTTTAATTAATATGATCGATTATCTCGCGAATCGATGATTTTATTGAAAAGTTTTTCGAACGAAAGTTGCATGGTTTGAAATGGGACACATGATGGTAATGTAAATTTGAACTTGTTAAAATCAAATTAAGGTCATTAATGTTTTTTAAATGGCAACCCCTATTTTGTATTACATATTTTTGTAGCTTATCTCGAGAGATTTCCAAAACACTATAATAAAATTACTTTTCGTTTAGTACTTGTTAAGTTATAAGGCAAGACCGATCACTGATCCGATCAACTAAGGCAAGACCGATCATTAATCCGGCCAACTAAGGCAAGATCCATCACTGATCCGGCCAATTAAGGCAAGAACGATCACTGATCCGGCCGATTAAGGCAAGATCCGGCAAACTAAGGCAAGATCAATTCGATATCTCTCGTAATAAAATTCTTCTTATCTGCATTGCACTTGGATGTCGTCTAAACGGATATCTATTACGATACAATCTTTCTGCTCTATAATAATTTCATCCATAGCTTCACCAAGCACAAATAATATCAAGGATTTCATTTGAACTGTAAGCGGCCATTTTGAAAAAAGTTTTGAAAAAGCCCATTATAATGTATAAAAATTAAACGAAAAAGCTATACGAAAAAAAAGAGGAAAATTGAATCGTTCAATTGGGAAGGATTGGACTCAATTCCGTGAGCGTAAGCGTATGTCAACCAGTGTGGATAGATCGCGGAGACGCGCGTACGTAAGAATCCCGCTCGCATGCGTATGCGTACATGGATAATGCCGACGTTACTGTAACTTTCAAGCTCGATAAATCGGAAAGTACTCAATGAAACGTAACTTTATTATAGTGTTTTGGAAATCTCTCGAGATAAGCTACAAGAATATTTAATAAAAAATAGGGTTTTTATTTAAAAAAATTAATGACCTTAATCTAATTTTGACAAAATCACTCAAGATCAAATCCACATTTCCATCATGTGTCCCCCTTCAAGCCATGCAACTATCGAATTCGAAAAATTTTTTAATAAAATCGATTCGAGAGATAATCGATCATATCACTTAAAATGAAACACCCTGTATGTTATATGTGTATACATATATAATAATAAATATATGTATTTTACGCGATCGCAGAATTTCCCATAGAATCATCGATGAGGCTGGCTTTTTTTTCGATTTACGTCTCGTCGGTAATAATTCTGTCCACCTATTTCGCCTCATTGATCAGTTATTTGGCACTCAATACGGCTCAACTGCCTTTTTCCACTTTGGAGGGATACGTTGAGGACGGCACTTACAAATTGCTGGTTCTACAAAACAGCGCTGAATACGACATTCCTCTTGTAAGTTCATTCTTACTTATAGCTTAAAAATTACTTTGCTTAACAATGATATATTACTAATCATAGAATTTTTTGTTAAAGCGTTCGCGAATAAAAACAATTTCGAGATTATAGCAAAAAAATTTTTAAATACAACATGAGGCTTAGTATGAGGCTTAGTAATTCAGTAATTTTTTGTAGAAAATTTGATAATTTTACATATTAGAGAACTTAAGGAGGTATTCTTCAAAATATAAAGAATCGATCATGATCTTGATAAAAAACATCTGTTTTCTCTCGATTCTTAGTTTAGTATGGCTTCGAACGTTGAATAAGGTGATCGTTAGCACGCAATTGATCATTTATTTTGAATTGTGTAAAATAATCTTACTTGTTCATGCGGATCGTCAGAAGAAACGAAAATTTCGAGGTAGCAATACACCGCTGAAATGAGCACAGAATTTGTCGTCACATCGGTAAAAATTATCAAGTGTCTGAAGACATCGACTTTACTGTTTTAAAAGAATTCGCATTGAAAATTTTTTTATCGTTTTTTTGACAATATTACCTCCCATGTTATTTGTAAAAATTGCAAAAGTACATAATATAAAGTTTTCTTAAACCACTAATCATGGCTTGGGTTTTAAAATTTCCATGCAGTGCAGTATTGCAATGAAGTGTTAATCCTTTCATTTCTTCATATTAAAAGTGCATAATACATAACATGAAGTGCGAAATTAACGTAAATTACGTCGAATTGTGGCTTTTGAGTGTTGGCAGAGAAAGTCTGAATTTATTTTGCAGTTTAATAAATATTGGTCAAAAAACAGCTTGTAAAATGTTATGACTGCCTTGAAAATATATATGAAGCGGCGCCTGTAATTACGATTGTATTTTTAAAAAAGCAGAAGTAAAGTAAATGAATGAAGAAACCGGAAATATTGCAATCAGCTTGATAGTTTTCAGCGATGGAACATAGGAAAAAGATAGTTTTCTTCTTTATTTGGTGTTTCTACTCTTATAGAAAAATATTCAAAGAAAGTAGTCGATACTGTCGTAATTTTTGTTGAGCATGTAATTGATGGAACAAGAAGAGAAACGAGAACATTGATGAATATAATGATTGATATGAAATTCACGAAAAGAAAATTATAATAGCAGTGCAGATGAAATGAAGATTGATTACAGAGAAGTTTTCGAGATCTGAGCAGAAATATAGAGTTCGATACTTTAAGAGTATTTTAGATGTTAATCCATATATGATGAAGAAGTTACTATGAATAAAAAGAATGTCGGTTATGTCGGAAAAAGAATGAGAACAAGCCTTCGAAATGCGAAAAAGAACAAAGGCCGTGTTCTCAAGAAATGAGAAAAGAAATATAAGCTACTTATAACCACAAAAGCTTTACGAATGATAAACAGTAACACAAATATTGTACGAATATAGTGTTCAAGTAAAAACAGTTGATGCAAGTGGCGTAAAGCCGAAGTCATAAATACACATAAAAGTTTTATTCATGACAAGTCGCCTCTTAATGGTAAAGTGCTAAAGATATTAAAGTTTATTTAGGGTAAGTCGGGAGAATACGCCACTTGGGGGAATATGCCACTTTTTGTGTTATGTGTATATACCTATATATTAGAGAAAATGACTAATGGCATTTTACCCCAACAAAAGTAGTGGCATATTGCCCCAAGACATCATTTCATCTTATGATGAGTCTGTACAGTATGATTTTAAGAAAATGAATCAACGATGTACTGAATATTTTCATTTTCACCTACTCTAATAGATTAACAAGTTAATCGACCTAAATATTGTGTAATGTTTAAATAATAACTTACATAAAGCACTATAAAAGTTATAAGAAGCACATTTTCGTATATCATGCCGTCATATTTACCTCATAAATACAATACTGTTGCAAGGAAATTCTTGATACTTAGGCAACAACGTTAAGCACACGATTGTAAATAACTTTGTGTCATTAACGCAAACGCTGTTAATCGGTATCATTGTTAAATACAATGAGTGACATATTCCCTCAACTGGCGTATTCCCCCGACTTACCCTATCAGGATTTATCAGATTCTTTAGTAGAAAGATGTTTAAAGAAACGCAAAATAATAATGACTTCTTAAATTTATTAATTAGGACTTTTGCTCCAAACCACATTCATTCAAGACCAAAAATTGTAGAAATCCCCACTTTCTTAGCAGTAATAATATTTAATGAAGGCTTTTTGCCACTCTTAAAAATAATGAGCGTTATGGGAGCAACTATTGACTAGAAAACGGAAAAACGCAATATATTTTTATTCAAATTAAAATTTTTTTAATATTGCAGTATACCAAGGACCCCTTACTATTGAAAATGTACGAAATATACGTCCTCGCGAAATATTATTTGTATTAATCGTTCAGAGCTCGAGTGAGTTCGCTAAACAAGCAAAAATCGATTGCCGAGAGGAAATAACTGTTTAGCGAGTTATATTCGAGCAAGAGGAGAGTCCCCTCTATGGTCCTGGATTAGCTGATTAATAGTAATTAAAATTTTCTCTGTGTAAACTGCATGCAAAAACTTTGAAAGCGTTTTTCTCGAAATTGTATTTTTCGAATTTCCATGATATCTCAAGATCAATTTGGCTAAGTGAGCCCAACTTGTGTGTACATTTTCAACACATGTGTGTCTACCGTCTCCAATCACGATTACGTTAAAATATTGTTTTTTTTTTATTTTTACAATCCTTTAAAGATGTAAAAAGTTTGCAAAAATCGAAATTAATTTTCAAAATGATATCATTTTTTTAATTTTCGATATTTTTCTTTCATTCTAGTCTACTACAGTCAAAAGTATATTAATTAAGAATCTTTTTGAACTGTTTGTTTCGGTCGAGCTAAACCGGCCCAATCATGGAAGCCAAACATAAAGGTTTTTTTTATCGATTATTTCAAAGCGGTTAACTGATTATAATTTTCATTTTCTTTTTTATACAAATGTTGTTGTCTTTTATCCTACATATTGTTTATATGTTAGTAAATGTATAGAAAGAACCAGGTACTTAATTTTTATGAGTTCTTCATAAACAATTTTTTTTAAATGCAATAATAACATCTGTTACAATAGAATACCCTCCTAATTTTATTTGTAGAGAATATATTATTCTTAACTTTTTTATATCCTCATAATGGATTACGGGCAAAAGTTCAAAAAAGCCATTCTATCCCAATTATGTATTATAACTGAAAGAAAAACGCAATATATTTTTATTCAAATTATAATTTTGTAAATTTTGCAGTATAGCAAGGACCCCTTATTACTGAAAATATACGAATCGCGGGAAAATAAGTATTATTTACCGTTTAATTTGTCTGAGGGATTCAAGAAAGTTAGTAATGCCACTTAATTAATGACATTAACTGGTTAAATTTCTAAGTTGATTAATGCCAATTTGCACACAGATTTGCGAGCGAATGGACTTGGTGTTTTTGACGACGGAATTATTCGAAAACTATATGAGCATTTATATACAGTGTCAGCTGGTATATATTAATACCGGAAGAATGGAGGATATTGCGATAACTTTAAAGAAAGGGAGTCCTTACACTAGCTTTATAAATTACCAGTAAGTCCTAAGTATATATTTGTTTATAGCATTATCTTATAAAAAATAAACGTTTTAAATATGTTTTCAATTTTCAGCTTGAGGCGATTTCAACTTAACGGCGTTATAAATAAGTTACGAAACAAGAATCCCTTAAAGATGCCAATGAAGGGCCTTATTGGTAATTTTACAGTCGATATAACCGATGTAACGCCGATTTTAACAATTGTAGCAGGCAGCACGGTCCTGTCATTATTTATTTTGATAATTGAGAAAGTATATTATTCATTTAAATCTCTAAACTCTAAGAATAATGAATCCATTACAAAATTCACTTACAATCTTAATGTGAGAAATAAATTGCGGAAAGAACTTAGACTTCAAGAATTTTATAAAAAATCGATTGACTATTAGTCAAAATACATATAAAAAATAGTTATAAATGCGCCCGCTGTAGGGATTTATTGTCTGTAAAACAATACTTGTAATAATATCTGCGTTTATCAATTTATTTAACAAATTTAACAAACTATTTCAAGTTATATTTATATTTTGGAAAGAACAAATTTCTTAAACAGGTAATTTTAATTTACTATTATTTTACTTTTTCGCAAAATGTTGCTTCGGATTGCGTGCTTATATCTCGCTTATACAAATATAATTAATAACATAATAATTATAACTGAATTAATAGTATTTTTATATTAGATTATAATTAAATAGTAAGAATTTTATAATGATGGATATACTCGAAAGAATATCGTCAGATACAACACATTATCCACTATGATAGAACGCATTATTCACTACTTCTTGGATTTCATTACAGATTTCTTGATTGCAGCAAAAATAGTTCTTGTTCATAATTAAGAATTTTTAAGTATAAAACTTGTTTCTTTACCTTTTAAGTAACAATTTTTTTAAATAAAATAAATTTTTTAATGTATCATAATAAAGAACTAAAATAACTATTGATCACGTGAATCAAATAATTAATCAGAATTCATATTGGATATCCACAAAGAATTAAAATCGCAGTGGCGAATTAATATAATTTAACCGATTCAATATCGAATCTTTAATTATTTGTCTAGGAATATTATTCGTCTATACGAGGTCGTCTATACTCCACCTAACTTGAGCATCTAAAATATCTCGCTTTTTATGAAAAAATGTTTCAAATGAAAGAGGAACGGTTTCAAGGGGAACGTATTTTGGTTATATCTTTCTTCTAAGTGGAGGCGCCAAAACGCTATAAAGATCATCTCCATTTTTTTAAATGGAATTGTATAATTTTTTTTAAATAATATGATTCCTCTAATTATTCTACATTTGAAAGTATTAAGGTAGAAATATTAAAAAACCAATATAGTTATACGAGATATTTTTAGATAATTATATTTTAATTGGTGTAAAGAAAATACATGGTTTACAATGACAAGTTTACAACGATATTTCTACAACACCGGAAGATATGAGAAAACGAATAAGAACCGCCATATAAAAATATCAGATAGGAAGTTATAAGGAGGGCCAGAGAATCGTTCATTACTCGTTTACAGAAATGTGTTGAAGTTAATGGATGCATCACTTTAAACATTTGTTAAAATAAATTTTCCTCCATTAATTATTCTGTCATTGTTATTTCACTTTTAAAAATAATATAATATATACAAAATGGATAATTTTTTAAATAAGCAATGTATTTTCTTTATACCAATTAAATTAAAGAAAATGTATTTTCTTTATACCAATTAAATTAAAGAAAATGTATTTTTTTTTTACCAATTAAAATATATATAATTATATTTTAATTATCTAAAATATCTCGTAAATTATTGGTTTCTTTTATATCTCTACCTTAATACTTTTGTATGTAGAATAATTGAAGGAATTATATTACGTAAAAAAATTATACAATTTCATTTAAAAAAAGGGAGGTGACCTTTATATCTTTTTGATGCCTCCATCTAGAAAAAAGACAACATGAGCAAAATATGTCCCCTTTGAAGCCTTCCACTTTCATCTGAAACATTTTTTTCTATCATAGAAACCAAGCAAGATATTTCAGATGTTCGAGTTAGATGGGACATCCTGTATATTTAAACCGTGTGTGTAATATTATGACAAATACTTCTCTTTTTTTCGCAATGTTCTATCTTCGCAATTATCTTTTTTTGTCCATGTTGTCATTTTTTATGTTTAGTTGCTGTCTCCTTAATGTACTGCACACAAAAATTAGTCCTCTTATTCTATAATATCATACCTTATTTTATGTTCTATCTAAATAGTCATAAATATCTATTCCGCTTCTTCTAATAAACATCGCGTAATGCAAACTTTCATAATCACTTATGTATAAAAATTCACACTAAATCACTTATGTATAAGAAAGTTATTGATCACTGTAAGTAAAATATTAGCAGAATATCGACAGATTGGTAGCAGATTTGATCAGTAGATTGACATCAGATATTATGATTCTTGTGAAGTTTGTTACTCTTCTGCCGTTAAAAATTTAAGCAGACTCTATTCAAAATTTATTTCTACAGTTTGAGTATCTACCTTTATATTAATCTATTGTCCTGATGAAAACGTATGGGAAATAAGAGTAGATCATGAAAATTGGAAATTATTATTTTCTCTAGATAATATCCCAATATTGGTCCTTAAATCTTTGCCATGTTACATTGATAAATATTATAATTCATGTACTATGAAGATGTTAAAAAAATTTTTTAATTTATATTTGCATGGTTTACAGATATTACTGATCCGAATAAAATGATTTTAAGGACTCTCACAATATTCAACATTAAAAAATCTATTCATGAACAGAGTACTAAACGTATCTTATTGGAAATTATACGTAAGAAAATACAGTATTCAAAATACAATGTGCATCTCCACATTTCAATATACCAATCATTTAATCAAATGCAATGATAATAACCCAGTTTTATTAACGTGTGTAGATACGACAGTTTCTTTTGACAAGGTACACTTGCTTAGTATTCCTATAAAAAATTCAAATAAGTTTTATTCCTTCCTGTTTTCTCATTCACCCAGAAGATTTTTTAATCTAATTCATCCAGCTCACTTGCACACAAACTTGAATGATACTTAATTTATGTAAATCTTTATTGATTAAATAAAAATATATATCTAAATAAAAATCTAAAAAAATATAGTAAACGTTGCGAAAACATTGCAAAGAATGAACAGATAGAATACATACATGTTAAAAAAAATATCATATCGGCTTTCTAGGAAAAATGTTTCATATATAAATATACAGTGTGTCTGGAAATTACCGCCAAATGTTTCGTGGGTGGGTAGAACAGACTATACTGAGTCGAAAAGTCCTGTACCATTTCGCGATGTCAGCAATAGTTAACGAGATATTAATTGCTAAAAATTGCAAAATATTGGTCTTGAATAATTTTTTACTCAAATACTATCAACTTTATAGAAAAACTGCGAGAAACAAAAATCATTTAGTTTCTTCTTATAAAGTTCTGAGAATTTTTTCAGAATTTTTTCAGAATTTTTTAATACCGTATTTTCTCATGTTGGTAAAAATAAGAAAATGCAATATTAAAAAGTTAATAAAAAATTCTGAAAAAATTCTCAGAACTTTATGAAAAAAAAAGAAATAATTTTTGTTTCTTGCAGTTTTT